GCCTGGCGAGTGCAAGGTCCTGAGTTCAATCCCCGGTACCTCAAAAAGATAAAAACAAAAACATGGTGGCAGGGCATAGCAAGGACAGCTGCTCAGAGGACGAGAACAGAAGAGCCAGGACAGAGCGCACCCTTCCAGATCAGGCCCCCAGTGGCCTATTCCTCCAATCAGGTCCTACCTCCTAATAGTACAGGGACTCATCAAACAATCTACTGATAAGTATAATGTCCCCATGATCCAATCACCTTCAAAAATGTCTACCTCTGAGGGCCGGCCAGATAGCTCAGCAGACTACAGCACCTCCTTAGGCAGACAGGGGACCGGGGTTCAATCCCTGCATGCTATGCCGGCCCTGCCCCCAGGGTGTGCTGAGACAGCGATTAAGACTGGGCATGGGAGGAAGGGCCACTGAGCCTAGGACTGAGCCTCCCAAGCACTGGGATTAGAGGCGAGTACCACCACACCCAGTCTTGGTGGCTGGCTCAGCACACCCAAGGGTGGGGCCAGCGTGACTGTTGGAGCCCTTATCTGTACCAGGGATCGAACCCCAGTCCCTGCACTTGCCTAAGCAGCCCCTGATGTCTGAAAATACTCTGGACTGGACCATCTGTTTCAGAGGTTTCATTCCATGGTCAGTTGACTCTAAGGCGGAAGCATCATGGCGGAGGAAAACAGCTCACCTCACCGCCACCAGGAAGGAGAGGAAGAGCCAGAGAACAAGGGGAGCCAAACACACCAGGAACAAAATACAACCTTTCAAAGGCACACCCCCATGATCTGCCTCCTCCAACTGGCCTCCACTCCCAAGAGCCCATTGGAGCTCATTAAGAACTAATTCATTGACGAGACTGGCACCTTCTTTGGCTCCTTCGCTGAACATTGCCATGTTGCAAATCAAAATTCCCCTACATACACGAGTCTCTGGAGGACACTTCATATTTAAACCCTAACAAAGGCTAAAGCCTGGCTCTATACAGGCAGCGTTGCAAGAGTGTAGACAAAGGAGGTACAAACAGCTTTTGAATGGTCTGGCTTAAGCTAGATTAAACCCTACTCTAGTGGATTTCAATTTGACTTGTTCTAATTCACCTGAGTTACTTTTAAAATGGCTTAATAGGATCTGTTCAATCAAATTTCTAGAAGTGTATCCTGTCAATCTGTATTTAAACACAAAATAAAGCAAAATGAAAATAAAAAAAAAATAATAATAAAAAGACTGGGCATGGTGGTATGTGCCTGTAATCCCAGCTCTTGGGAGGCTGAAAACAGGAGGATCAGTACGAGTCTGGTCTGTATGACAAGACCCTGTAGACCCTGTATTAAATACACAAAAAAAGAGCTCCACTTCTGAACACCTGACACTTGGGGGGGCAGCATTTTTTTTAATATATATATATTTAGTTGTTACAGGGTCTCACTATGCAGCTGGGACTTGTGGTGATCCTCCTGCTTTCAGTCTCCATAGCACTGGGATTACAGGCATATACCACTATGCCAGGACTCTGGCCAGTTCAGCCCACCCTGGGGGCAGGGCTGGCGCAGCATGTGGTGGTAGGGATCGAACTGTGGTCCCTGCGCTTGCCTAAGCAGACACTTTAGTCCACTGAGCTATCTCACCAGTCCCCTGGGGGCATCTTAATCTGAACCATAACACATCCTAAAGTAGACCTTAGCATCCCAGCCCAGATAGGAACCCAAGTCTCGGACACCTCAAACAACTCCAGTTCATGTCACTTCCAACGGGTAAGAATCCCTAATCTGTCACTCGAAATGTGAGAGCTGGACTCACTGTCATGACCCTCAAACTATGCTAGTAGGCATTTCCCAAACTAAGATATGAGTTTCCCAAGTTGCTACCATGTCTCACTAGGTAACGAGCCCTCTTCCCTAATCGCTGTCGTCCTAAATTACATAAAAGGCTCCGTCTCTACCAGCCAGAACTTCCGAACTCTACCACAGCTGCTCCATACTAGACAGCCTCACCTGTCTCTCCTGCCTCAAGGTAGCAACCACGCTCACTGGGTCATCTCCAGCCAAGGAGACACCTTACCGTGTTACCCCAAAACTGGAGCCTGGATTTTCTGCCTCACCATTCAAAACTTTCCACCCAGATACTCAGGTCTCAGGAATCTTAGTCTGTGCCGTCTCACCACTCATCTCAAATTTGGTAATTAATCCCATTCTATTCCCCCAAACCAGAAGCCAGTATTGTCAGCCCAAGCAAGGCAACCAGATTCCCAACCTGTCACCTCCTGCCAGCTGACTGACCCCAGGCACTCTCCACAAAATAGACAACCAGACCTTTAGCTTTTGTCCCCTGGATAAGAGAACAAGCCCTCCTGTTTGTTATCCCAAACCAAATATTTTAATCCCAAGGTCATTTGTAGGAGAAAGATGGGGAGAAGAGCCTCCAGTCTCCACCAACCCCAACAGAAGCTTCTAGTTGCTGGGCATGGTGATGCACACCTATAATCCCAGCACTAGGGAGGCTGAGGCAGCAGGATTGCTGTAAATTCAAGACCAGCCTTGGTTACACAGTGAGCTCAAGGCCAGCCTGAAGTGCATAGCAAGACCCTGTCTCAAAAAGACCAAAAAAAAAAAAAAAAAAAAAAAAAAAAAAAACCAAAAAACAACCCCCCCCCCCCAAAAAAAAAAAACAGCTCCTAGTCTCAGCATCTCAATGAATTAAGGACCTGTATCATTACCCACACTGAGCTTCTGGTCTGAGTCTCAACAGCCTCTTACACTAGCCCGAGCCTGCTGAGCCTATGCCCCAGTGATCTGTCTCAAGTGTGTGGCCTCAGTCACCTGCAGAGGACAGCTGGACCATATGCAGGCTGAGATGGGCGTGGAGCCTCAGTTTCCCCCCGGGAACACCGGCATTGAGAGACCAAACAAAACACCCTACGCTACTCCCAAATTGGTTTGGGGACCCTGGCCTTTGAGTAGACTTTGGTGACCTAACTAGGCCTCCGGTCCCCCAGCTTCCCAGCTTGCTGTGTCTCTCAGGTTGAGTCAGTTGTCTCCGGATCAAGCCCAGAGAAAGTACTTGTGTGCCCTCTGGTGGCCCATGCTGGAAGCGTTCTCAGTTGGCTGTTGCAGTCCTGTGTGGACCAAGACACCCAAGCCTCCTGGTCTCCCCAAGGTGCCTGAGGCCTGAAATGGGGGGTCATCCTGACCTGTTACCTGCCACCCACTCAGCTCCCACACGTCATCAAACTCTCGCTCTCCTCTTCAGAATCTGTGTTCTTGTCCTTCCTCTTCCCCCCACGTCCCTACCTTGTCTTCCCCGGCTCGGATCATCCCTGATCTCACCCTCTCCAGCTCATCCTCCACACAGACCCCCCACAGAAACGTTTCTAACAGCCACACCTGACCCTGTCTCTTCCTTGAACAAAAACTCTTCTGTGGTCTCATGTTACCTTAAGTTAAAATCTAAAGAGTGTGGGCTGGAGAGATGGGTCAGTGGTCTAAAGCACCTACTTAGAACAAGCTTAGCAAAGCATCAGGGACCGCGGTTCGATCCCCCAGCACCACATGCCAGCCAGCCCCGCCCCCTGGTGGGCTGAGCTGGCCACACACACACACACACACACACACACCTCTACACACACACAATAAATAAATGTTAAAAAAAAATTTAAAAAAAAATCTAAAGAGTGTGTCCAGGCCTGCAGGTCCCACGCCACCTGTCCCCCAGTGTCTTCCCCAACATCGTCTCCTAAGGCTGCTCCTTACTCCCTTCACCTCAGCTACAGCGACAATGACACCATCACATCACTGAGCAGATCTGACCTTGGGCCTTTGCACTTGCTATTCCCTTTGGCCAGAACACTCTCACCCAGGACTTCCAAGGGGCGAGGTGCTCATTCCCCAGGAATGCCCTGCCTCTGCGCCCCAAGCGAGGCCAGCCCTCCCCCAACTGCCTCCTAGTCCCACCCTCCCAGCGCTTTGCATTGGCTTTGGAGGTGTTCCTGGTTTCCTGCTGGTACTTGGATTGCTTGTGCATCCAAAGCTTCTCCCACAATGGTGCATTCCCGGAGGGGAGCCCCCATTTGTTTGCAGCGATGCTGCCTGTCAGCATCTACACCAGCACGCCACAGAGACAGACTCCAAGCCATGGTGTATCCCTCTCTCTTCTCTCTCCTATCCCCTCCCCTTGGATTAAACCTAGGGCCTTTGCACGGAGCTACATTCCAGTCCTTTTAATTTTTTGAGATAGGAACTCTCTAACTTACTAGGTGCCCAGGCTGGAATCATGCTGGCCAACTTCCTGCTTCAACCTTCCAGAGTGCTGGGACTGTAGGCGTGTGCCATCATGCCTGGCAAGAACAGCATTTAGGGGCCGGCGAGATAGCTCAGCGTACTAAAGCGCTTGTTTAGACAAGTTTAGGCAAGTGCAGGGATTGAACCGCAGTCGATCCCAGCACCAGCCCTCCCTCCCCCCCCGGGGTGGGCTAAGCAGGCCAAAAAAAAAAAAGAACAGCATCTAGCACAGCAGACTGAGGTCATGTCCGTGGACAGGCTTATGTGCGCAGCTGGCTCCCTGGCTGTGTCTGGGAACCTGGATTCAGGAAGCTCTTCTTTCCAGCTAAGTTTTGCTCCCTGTGTGTAGACTGTGCAAACAATGCTGTTTGCATGGAGCCTGGCCTTCTCCCTGGGAGCCTGGAATTTTTGTACACGTACGTACCAGTAATGGGCTGTAATGATCAGTTGTTAGGACAACTATGCACTAAATCCTGAGTTTCTAGCACATCACTGAACCTCTAATCTTTTTTAGATGGCATCTCACTACGTAGCCCCTGCTGGCTTCGACCTACTGATGCTCCTGCCTCAGCCTCCTAAGTACTGGGATTACAGATATGTGTACCATGCCAAATTTCCCTCCTCTTCTCCTCCTTAGCACTTGACCTCTTATTTTACTTGTATCCTGCTCCCGTTTTCCCACACCTGTAGCATTCCCAGCACCCCCTACAGAGGCCCACAAAGACACAGGGAGGTATCTGCTGAACAGCAACTGCTTTATTTTTAAAGGTGGAGCTCCTCCCTGGGCTTGTGATGGAAGGGGGCTGCTGGCCCAAGCAGCTGGGTGGTCCACGACAGGGATGGACAGGGATGCGGGTGGCTGGCCCAGGAGGCCATTGGGTCCCTGCAGATACCTCACACGGGCTCCATCTGTAGCTCCTCCCCATCTGAAGCCTCGATCTGGTGGAAGGCAGCGTGGGAGCCGATGACAACCAGAGTGGCTCCTACAGGAGAACAGGTGGCTTAGGGTCACGCTCCCTCAGCTGGGGTCTCCCCCCACCATAACCCTGTACTCACCTAGGACCCAGAAGACAGCGGAGCCTGCACCAGCCAGCCAGAAGAATGGGAAGGAGACTCCTCCAGCCAGAGCATATTGATGGGCAGGGCTCACCTCTCGGCCTGAGGGCAGACAGCAATGGCTAGCTGCCTCACTGTTCCTTGCAGCCTCCCAACAATATGATATCACAAGCTCTAGCAGCTTCAGGATGGAACCCAGACTCCCTATGCCATCTCTGTCCCTGCCCCATTGTTTCCCCAGTGTCCCCTGTACCACAGAATATAACAAGCCTTCCTCAGATTCTGCCCCTGCCCTCCAGCCCCATTTGCCCTATGAAGTCCCAGCCTTTGGCTCTCTAAACCCAGGACAACCTGTACTTGAACTGGTAGCCTCAGGACCAAATCTGACTTGGGGATATGTTCTTGGCGACATTTCACAATCTGGTTTGTGGTCAACAAATACACTGAAAGATCTCCCCTAATAATGCAGCTCTGGCCTCACATAATACCAGAAGGCCTGGTCTGCATGCTCCTGTGACCTTGAACTGTGGCTGTGATTCAAGAGCTCCTTCCATGCCCTTTCATGACAGCCCATCTTTCCCATGAATATAAATTGAAGGCCCCTGCAGGACTTTGTTTTAGGTCTGATTCCAAATCCCAGTACCCACGACAAATCCGGGATTTTTTTTCTTGGGTGGAATTTCCCCTGGAATCTTTTTTTTCCATATATCTTGGCAGCATTCTGCAGCCCTATGAGTCACAGGCTTCAGCTTTCCTGAGATCCCCAAAATCTTCCTGGTCCCACCCCAGGAAACGCCAAAGACAATCTGGACAGACCTAGGCCTGTATAAGGTCGCCACCTGGCGTCCAATGTGAGTAATTGCCACGGGTGCTTCCTGTAGAAGTTAGGAAGTGGAGAGGGGTAGTACAGTTCACCTCAGAGCAGCTTGGTAATGGGTGGATTCAGGGCGTCTCATTCTGGTTTTGGGGAATAGCAATTTGGGGAGCTAACACTGGATGTGAGGATCAGGTGTGTCTGAGATTTCATGTATCAGGCCAGCTGGATCTAGTGTACATCCAGGCTTGGGCCTACTTGGGTTCCAGGACTTAAGTTGCGTGTCTGTTTTCATTTTAAGAGAAGTAGGGATCCGTCTGGGCAGGAGATTCTCTCACCGAAGAGCACAAGCTTGGATTGCAACGTGCGCAGATACAGAATGTAACAGGCGCCAAAGAAGACAGCCAGAGCAACCAGCAGCATGGGAGATGTCACCCTAGAGGAACAGGGCAGGGAGGCAGAGGTCGGGCATGTGGAGACGGGCCAGTGTGGGGGGGGGGGGCTGGCCTTGTATACAGGTGGGTGGAGGCCAGAGAGGGGTGAGTTACATGGGTGGGTGGGGGAGTAGAAACCTGGTCCTTTGGTGACAAAGTAACAAAGCTACACGGAGGCTACGTCTGCCAGTGGGGCGGGTCCATGGGACAGGATGGGATGGGCTGGGCTGGGCTGGGCTGGGGCGCGCCCGGGCACTCACACGCAGTACAGGATGAGGCCCAGGAACACGAACACATAGTTGCTCTGGTAGTACTCTACGTTGCGCACCAGGCGCTGGCACAGCTCGCCCAGGTTGCGCGGTCGTGAGAAGCGCTGCTGGTCCACGAAGGCTCCCCAGGGCCTGATGGTGGCCCGTCGCCGCTCCAGCCACTCCCGGCCTGGGCCAGAGGGAATCAACTTGGGCAGCAGGGTCCTGGCAGGGAAAGGGGTGCAGGTCGGCGGGAGATCGGGATGGGGCCCAGACCCGCGGGAAGTAACGGGGTAGCGGGGGCTGGACTCCGCGGTCCAGGAGGGACGCGTCCCAGGAGGTAGCCAGGATTCCTGGGCACTAGACTTCTGGCTGGGAGCTGGGACTGCCGGGATACGAGCGGGAAGGGGACCGGTCTCCCGCGTCTCGGGTTAGGGTGACTGAAGCCGGGTAGCTCACGTGGCGCTCAGCCCTTCCGCCTCGGCATCCTTCTCTTGGTCCTTCTGGGCTGCCATGATCGCTGTAACCAGCCCGGAGCCCTGCAGCCCTCGCCGGCTCCGCCCGAGCCCGGTCTCACCCGGCGGAGCCGACGTGGAGCCGCTCCCGAGCCGCAGGGGGCGGTAGTTGCGCCGCCGAGCATTGTGGGAGTTGAAGTTTAGACATCGTCCGGCCGGACTAGCGTTGCGTCGGAGGTCTGATTCGCAAGGCACCTAGGGAAATGTAGTCCCAGAAAGCAATGGGCGTCGCTGGGCCTTGTGGGATTGTAGTTTCGAAGTGTGGAGTAGGGCGAGTGGGTGACTGTGGTGTTGGGCGTTGTGTACTCCCTTGAGGGATATACTGTGGCCTGTGAGCAAAGCTGTCTTCCTGACTTTACAGAGCATCTGGAAATTTGGATAAAACACTGCTCCTGGGCCCAAAACCAGATTTCTGACTCAGTGTGCATCTGGATTGAAGCCCATAACTTGGATTTTTAATACCTTCCCCGATGCTGTCGTTGCTGGCCTGTGGACCGTATTTTTTTGAGTATCAAGACTGTAGACAATTTGTGAGAATCAGTTGCTTCCTCAGGAGGCTGGTGCTGGGGAGGAGGCCGTGTTTACCGGAGTGAAGCTTTCCCACCCTTGGACTACTGGGGATGAATGGGTTAGTGTTAGGAATGTTCCCGCATCGCGCCACACCTCTGGATAGGAGGGAGGTAAATTGGAAAGAGGAGGAGTCAAGAATTCTTAAAAAGAGGGGCTAGCCAAATAGCTCAGCGGATTAAAGCGCTTGCAAACAGGTGTAGGGGCCAGGGATTCGATCCCCCGGCCTGCCATGCTGGCCCTGCCCTGGGGCGCGCTGAGACTGCAGTTGGGACTGGGCACGGTGGTGCGCACCTGTAATCCCAGCTCTTGGGAGGCTGTAAACAGGCGGATCACTACAAGACCATCTAGTAGTGAGACCCTGGAACACCCTGTAAGCCCTTCCCTAAAAATATAAATAAATAAAAATTGATAGTTTAAACAAAAAACAATTTTTAAAATGGGGAATTATTATGTGGGTTATAGCCACAATTGAATACTGCTCAGCCATAAAGGGTATATTCTAGTCATTTGTAGGAATATGGAGGCACCTTGAGTCCATCCATAGTGCTAAGTGAAATAAATCAGTCACAGATTAGATGTCACATGGTTTCTCTCATATGAGAAACCCAAAGTGTAAATGCCATAGAAGCAAGATACTAAAAGAAAGATGATAGGAAACAGGATGTTGTGGAGACGGGAGGGGGGTCTGGGCATGAAAGAGATAGGAGGGGAAGGGAAAGTTAGAGAGACCAAGAGGCAACATGTATATGTGCCAGTGTTGCACGATGAATATATTTATTATATATTGCAAACATACACTAGAATGTTTTTTTTTTTTTCAAAGAGGGGATTATTATCAAAAGAGGGCTGGAATTTTGGAGTTGGGCACAGGAGTGGGGTGGCTTTGAGCTAGTCACTTCTGTACCGCTGTTCTCATCCAGATAGTATCACACGAACGGGGTTGCTATGCTGCCGTTAAATGCTGTATGTAAACTGCTTGAGCGAGCCTTGACATTGCACAGCCGCTCAATAAATTAGTCATTACTGCCAGTATATTATGAATATCCCAGTTATTTCTATGGTTCAGTCTCCTCAAATTTACCAGTAACATGTTAGGGGCTGCTTGGCCCTTGGAGGGCTCAAAGAGTGGCTGCTGACTGAGGCTTGGGCCACTCTTTTGCCAGGCCCCGTGGTTCTCTGTCTTTAATCAAATTCCTCCATGGCCTGCCCCTGCCCAGGTGAACTATGGGAAGTCAAGGCAGAGCTCTAAAGGGGCGTCCCTGAGCAGGCCCTCAAGAAGTGTACCTGGGAATGTCAAGAGACTCAAAGCTGGGTGAGACAACAGGGGAAAATCCAAGCCAAGTTTCTTTCTTTTCTTTTCTTTCTTGTTTTGAGATAGCCTTGCTATGTGCTCAAGGCAGACCTTGAACTTACTGTGTAACCCAGGCTGGCTTCGAACTTGCAGTGATCCTCCTGCCTCAGCCCAGCTGCCCAAATACTGGGACAAGAGGCATGTACTACCATGCCCTGCCCCTCCCCTGTTTAAAAATAAGGTCTTGCTTCTAGTCCATGCTGGTCTTGAACTCAAAATCCTCCTGCCTCAGTCTCCCAGTTGGTGGAATTATAGCCATGTGCTGCCATGTTTATCTTCCAGGTAATTTTTTTTTCCCAAACAGGGTCTCACTCTGTAGGCCAGGCTGGCCTCAAACTCTCAGCAACCCACCTGCCTCAGCCTCCCATGTGCTGGGGTCACAGGTATGTGCCACCATGCCCAGCCCAGGTGAATCTTTTAACCCCAACTTAACCTTCCAATGTCCGTACACTTAGAGTTGTGTTTTGGGGCCTGGTGAGAGAGATTTCTTCAGAAGTGAGGGAAGATTGCCCCTGCCAAAGGCTGTGATGGGCAGGGGGAAGCACCATTGTGTGGGTCCCAAACTGATCAAACAGCCAACTCTGAAGACCAGTTCAGCAGGTGTCTGCTTATTTGCCCTTTATCACCCCAAGCTATTCATGTACTTCCCTCAGGTTCTCCAACCTGGGCCTAGTCTTGCTTCAGAAATCAAGGGGACCGTGTGTCCAATCAGCCAGAGCGTTACTGGAGGAGCAGTACTAGCGTGCAAAGTGATGGGGGCACAGAGGTAGCTACGGGAGGGCACCCAGGACAAGGAATCTTGGGAACTGGGTTAGTGGCAGCTGGGAGTCAGGGCTTGCCTGTGGCTATAAGACTGTGTTTTCCTCAGGAGAAGTGGGTGAAAGCCCCTGTCTTCCACAGCCTGCTCCTAGCAGAGGGCATGCAAAAGACTAGAGGTCCCACAGCAGCGTGATGAAGGACGCAGGCTTACGGGGAGGAGGACATGGGGATTTCTCATAGGGTACTCTGGGTAAAGGACTTTGGGAGATGAGGCCTCGGCGCAGGGGCCAGTGGGAGGAGCCCCTTGAAGCAGAAATAGTGGAAGAGTCTGGCTGAGACAGGGTGCAGGATGGGGGTGATGCGTCCCTGAGAGAGGGGCCTTAGGGCAGATGAACCCTGAGTTAGAGGGTGCTGGGTGATTGTGGGCGACAGGCATTGGCTCTGAAGCCTCCTTCTTGCCTCTTGGATTCTGAGAGGAAGTGGAGGCAGGAGGGCCGGAAGATGTTAGCACAGACAACCAAAAACCCGGGCAATAGTCCCTGCTGTGTGACTACAAGGAAGTCCCTCCCCTCTCTGGGCCTCGGTTAGCCCATCTTTGAAGGGAGTGTTTCCTCCCTGCATTAGATAAGTGAAGCGGTGCATCCCAGGAGAGGTCATGCAGCTCTCCCTGTGACCCCAAGGCTCTGTTCTGAGCTCACAGGGGTCCCAGCACCCACGGCCTCTGGCTGCCTGCGGCTTCCTGGCTCAATTCCGGAGCTTTTCTTCTGCCCACACCGCACTCGGCAGCTGTCTAAGCCCTGGTCCCCTGCACCGGGAGGCAGGCAGGCAGGCCTGGCCCACACAGCGCCTCCTCTCACTTGCACCTCTGGGCTGCCGGAGGGAAAGGGTTTAGCTGTCCAACCAGAATGGCTCACATGCTAAGGACTGGTGATGCTGACAGGTGGCAGGGAACAGAGCAGGCAGCTGGGGACTTTCATACACTGTAGGAAGCAAAGCGACATGGGGCGCTGGGGTCTGGCCAAGCCAGGCACAGCCTGGGACCCAACACTTCCACTGCTAGGCAGGTCCGTACCCAGCAGAGATGGGCACACATGGCGAGGAAGATGGGACCAAGCCGGGTGCGGTGTGCGCAGCTGCGAGCCCAGCACTCCAGAAGGCTGAGCCAGGCTGCAGGACTGAGAATTCTAAACCAGCCTGGGCTGCGTAGTGATTTAATGAGACACCGTCCCAGCTCAAAATATGGATAAATTAAAGAGCAAAGGGAAAGAGGGCTAAGAGGAAGCAGAAGGGAAGCAACAGATGGAGAGAAGAATTAAAATACGTCGTGTATAGGTGCCAACTCCTGCAGTGAACGGAATCATGTACTGCGAACAGGTAACAATAGCAACACTTTAAAATCTACACAAAAGAGCCAGGGTATATGGCTCAGTGAGAAGGCCCAGGGTTCAATCCCACTATCATAAATAAGAAGAGAAAAGGGCTGGCGAGATGGCTCAGTGGTCTAAAGCACCTACTTGGAACAAGCTTGGCAAAGCACAGGGACTGCGGTTCGATCCCCCAGCACCACATGCCAGCCAGCGCCGCCCCCTGGTGGACTGAGCTGGCCATACACACACATACACACAATAAATAAATAAATGTTAAAAAAAAAATAAAAAGAGAAAAATGACTGGAATATTCCTACTCATCGCGGGAGTGGCCTCCCACCCGCAGAAACCCCAGATGTCTGTAAGAGGAGAATGGACAAACTGTGTTAGAGTCACACAGTGGGACACTACACAGGGGTGAAGAGAAACAGGCTACTAATGCACGTACGAGGTGGAAATGCCCACAGGTGTGTCGTGGGGTTGCAAGGTCACACGCACTAGACTATGGGTTGTAAGATTCTGGTTTCATAGCTGGGTCTGGTGGCACATGCCTGTAAGCCTACAACTTGGGAGGCTGAGGCAGGAGGGTCACCCTGAGCTCAAGGCCAGCCTGGACTCCACAGTGAGACCGTGTTCAAAAACATAAAGAAAGGGGCTGTGGCGGTAGCTTGGTGGTGTAAGCACCTGCTTGGCAAGTGCAAGGTCCCGAGTCTGCTCTCTAGTACCGTATGCCATGGGGGCCCCGGAACCTGGGAGTGCTGTGCCAGTCTCCTGAGCTGCATGGCAAGACCTTGTACCAAATAAATAAAATAATTAAAATTTAAAAAAAATTTTTTTGAAGTTCTGTTTTCTTTCTTTTTTTTTTTTTTTTTTGGTGGAACCAGGGATTGAACTTAGGCCCTTGCGCTTGCTAGGGAAGCGCTTATTCTACCGAGCCATCTTCCCGGCCCCAAAAGTTCTGTCTTCATGAAGTTCAAGAACAGACAAAACAGGGGCTGGTGAGATGGCTCAGTGGTCTAAAGCACCCACTTAGAACAAGCTAAGCAAAGCACAGGG